GGGGGGGGCGGGGGGTCTGCCCAGAGCCAGCGCCCTTCTAGAAGCATCCGGGCCAGCCGACTCTGGCCAGGAGCGGGTGCCTCACAGGGCTTTCGGACCACAGAGCAGACCGGGCGCAACAAAGGACAGGCCCGTGCGGAGGCCCCGTGGGGGACGCCGAGGCAACACAGCAGATCTGGGGAAGGAGGCCCTTTCTCTGGCCAAACAGGAACCCCCCCCCGCCCCCGCTCCGGGGACAGCGGACACCCCGTCATTGTTCTCCTTCGATCGCAGTTTTAAACACTTAACATGCGGACATCTGTTCCTTGACGTTCTGTCTTTGTTCATCTGTCATCCTCAAAATGAAAGTCCAGAACCTTCCACACTAATTTTAAAGTCCGGCTGAACATTTAGTAATGAACAAAGCTGGAAACACAAAAGAAAAAGATGGTTTTTTATAAGCTTGTGATTCTGCCTCACAAATCAGAGCGCAGCTGTCTCTAGCTGCCGCTTTTCTCGCCTGCATCACCGGCCCTTACGGCGCCCTGACACCCCCTCTCTAGACTGTTGCCTCCTTACATCGTGACACAAAACGATGCACTTCGACTGCCCACCCGTGTGGCACACAAGCCCCAGCCCATGGGCGAGGTGAGCCCCGGGGCCCGCCCGGCTCTGAGACAGGCCCTCCTACCCAAGGGACACACGGGGGACAAACCTGTTTAAATTTCCCTCTAATTCTGTCTAGGTCTTCGTGAAGTTTAGCATAGGTAGGGTCATCATAAGGGAAATTCTCAATCATTCCGAGTAACGATTCTAAGACCTTCATCTTTTTGCTGTAAAGCACAGAAAAGAAAGGCTTTCAGTCCCCTGTACACGACAGGCTTGGCTCACGTAACAACGATGGCGACCCCTCACTTCAAAGCGGCGGGCGTGCGAAGCGTGGCCGAGTCCAGAAGCTGGGTGATTCATTTCTTTATTGCACTAAACAATATTTATCTACCTAGCAACGTGCCCTCGCCCACGCCCACGCCTCTGCACCAAGTCCGGACCGCGCAGACTGACGCACCTCGGTCCCAGTGTGGAGCCAGGCGTCGGAGCGCGACATGCATGCCGACCGCGCCCCCGTCGGTCCCAGACCTGGGAACAGACAGGACCGGACAGGAAAGAGCGCGCTGGGCACGAGCGGGCCTGCTCTGGGCCTGGGGATTTTCCGGGAGCAGACACTGGCTCCCAGCCCCTGGGAGGTCAGCAGCAGGTGAGCCAAGCCCCTCCCCGCACGGACAGATCCGGCGTCTGCTGTGTGCCCAGCTCCCGCTCCCAGGGACAGAGAGCTCGGCGGGGCGGCCACGTGTGCAAGTGCCCAGGTGTTCGTTCTGCAACCTCTGAGCCTC